CATCAAAAGACCTAGCAGGCTGCAGAATATCATAAGATTGGCCCCTAGCAGATGAGGATAATACACGTTTTACAATGTGCCAAGAATTTTCCCGCTACAACTCGAAGAAACTGAAAGAGAAACAAGAGGCCCACGGGTCTTATAGGTCACCTGAGTATTGTGATTGATTGTATACTGTTTAACGTCCCTCTCCAGAATATTTCACTGATATGGAGACGTCACCATTGCCGGTGAAGGGCTGCAAATTTGGGCCTATGCTCGGCACTCAGGGCCATTGAGCAGGGAGGGATCTTTATCGTGCCACACCTGCTGTGACACGGGGCCTCGGTTTATACGGTCTCATCTGAAGGACCGCCTCATTTAGTCGCCTTTTACGACAAGCAAGGGGGTACTGAGGACCTATTCTAACCTCCTCACGGGACTGAGTATTGTGAAACAACTTTCAAAAATTAAATTTGGTTTGTGTTTTAAACCAGAGGCCATGAAATTCACAATTCTTAATTTTGAAAGAAGCACCATTGCTTAATTATTATATTTGTGAACTTAGCATGCTTACTCTATTTACTTAATACTCAGAGGCAGATCAGAGTAACAAAGAGAAAATGCACTTCCACTTTGTACCCAGTTGTGCACCTCACCCCAAAGGAACCATTGACCCAGGGGCCACATATTTCAAAATTTTGCAAATTTTATCATAAAATGGTTGATTAATACCAAAGAGCAGATTTCAAAGCATTAATTTATTTTTAAACTGTAACCAACCAATCCCCCCACCCGACGCATGGGGCATAAAAAACCACGATGCTAGATGCACCTTTCTTCATCAATAATATATATACATGGATCATTGGTATAAAACCAAAGAGCAAAGGAAAATATTTTCAAAGAATTAATGTATTTTTACTATATAACTCTATATAGAGCCATGCACTAACACCAGAACCCCTAACCCTGGGGCCATAAAATTCAAAAATCTGGAAGAGACACTCTTGCTCATCATAACTATGTACTTAGTTGGTTTATTTAATACCCAGGAGCAGAGAAGAAGATTTTCAAAGAATAAATGCATTTTCACTATATAATCAATAGAGCCCCGCCCTAACACCAGAACCCCTGACCCTGGGGCCATAAAATTCAAAAATCTGGAAGAGGCACTCTTGATCATCATAACTATGTACTTAGTTAGTTTATTTAATACCCAGAAGCAGAGAAGATTTTCAAAGAATAAATGCATTTTCACTATATAATCAATAGAGCTGCGCCCTAATACCAGAACTCCTGACCCTGGGGCCATGAAATTTTACAAATCTGGTAGAGGCACTCTTGCTCATCATAACTATGTACTTGTTTAGTTTATTTAATACCCAGAAGCAGAGAAGAAGATTTTCAAAGAATAAATGCATTTTCACTATATAATCAATACAGCCCCGCCCTAACACCAGAACCCCTGACCCTGGGGCCATTAAATTCACAAATCTGGAAGAGGCACTCTTGTTCATCATAACTATGTACTTAGTTCATTTAATACCCAGGAGCAGAGAAGAAGATTTTCAAAGAATTTATGTATTTTCACTATATATTCTATTTAGCCCCACCCTAGCACTTGAACCCCTAACCCAGGGGTCATGAATTTCATAATTTTGGTAGAGAACTCAATGCTGAATATAAACATGCCAACAGTTTGCCTGCTTGATGTCAAGGAGTAAAGAAGAAGATTTTAAATAATAATAATTTTTGAATAATTTTAGTGGTTTTGGTCCCGCCCCTTAGGCCCCAGGGGGGCAGGGACCATGAAATTCACAATTTCTGTCCCCCTTCACCCATAGATTCTGTATACCAAATTTGGTTGAAATTGGTTCCGTGGTTTCAGAGAAGAAGCTGAAAATATTCAAATGTTAACACACGACACACGACGGACGACGACGGACAGAAACAGATAGCAATTCACCTGAGTTTACTCAGGTGACCTAAAAATGTAGTGGCGGATCTTGAGGGAGTTTATTTTTTTCCTCAAAGAGAGTGCAAGGAGCCCCACATACTTGTTGCGATTTATTAAATTAAAATTACACTGCATATCTAATTGTAGATTACATTAAACTTAAGTTTTAAACTTTTAATGCAAATGCCTCCTAATTATACAGCCCCACGGTTTGTTAACGCAGAGGACTAGGGGGTACTTTGCTTAATTATACATGTACATGTAAAACTGAACATGCATTATATAATTAAGAAAATCATGCAATGTCGTGATCAAGCGTTTAATGTCACGAGGATATATATTATAATAACAGATAAATATAAGATATTTCAGTCTTTAAATGCTTCATAAAAGTGAAAATTAATTGGTTTGCGGCCAATTTTTTACGCTTGCGTCAATATATGTTTCTTGTTTAAACACTGATTTGACAATGGGTTTTTCTGTACATACCTATAAAATAAACAGATATTGCAAATTCATGGATATAGAAAAGTTAACTTGGATCGCCATTAATATAAATTTAGCATTTTTCCTTATACAGATATAACAAATAACAGATATATAGAATTTCACAGGCCCCAGTGGCTTGTTATAACTGATTTTTACTGTATTAATAGACTTTAATATATGCATAGTTCTGGACTACACAAATTAAATACTAAGAGGAGTACCAAATACTCAGCAACCTCATGAGCTAAATTTGACCCTGCTTGGGTTTAAAATAAAACTCAAGGCTGTGGGTCCCCCAATTTGCAAGATATATTAAACTGACACCATTGAAAGGTAGGGGAGTTGAGTTCCTTGAAATGAGCAATACAATTCTTAGAATACTTAACAAAGGCAATTTTTGTTTAAAAACAATTTTCTCAAAATTAAAATGCTATCTTTGAATTTAATTTTGTCTCCAAAATATAATTATATAGAATCAGCATCAGAATCAAAATATGTCTTCTTCAGCCTGTTGAAGAATATTCCATATTTGATCACTATGTAGGATGCCCAATTTACTGATCAATAAATTATTTAGAAGATTAAGAAAAAAATTCATGAGTGCTAAGTATATATTTTTTATAAATGTTAACAGTGCAGATAACAATACTTCATTTACAGATAAAAAGCAGTTATTCACTGTAATTGAATTGTTCCAAAAATTAGTTTTTAAAAAAGCAATGAATAGAATGACACTTTGATTCTCACTGGGCACTTCTATATACTACATGTTGTGCCAGCACAAAGATTTATAATATGTTCTTTCCCAATTGCAACCTACTTTTTACAAAAAATAAAATTTGCTTTCAATTTTCGAAGGCACACAACCAATTTGAAAATAAATCTTTACATGGATTGAAGCATGGTTTTTGGTTTTAAATCAGATGACTGTTTAAGATTTTAAGAAGATTTGTAATGTTGATGACTGTTGATTTTTTCAATATATCTTTTCAATAGATTGATAGTTAAATAAAAGTTCAAGATTATTCATTATTTGTATTAATTTCCTTAAATTTGTCATGTACTATTATTTCCAATAAGTGAACACATATGGCCTCAATTTCCCAATCTCAGGAGCTTGTGCCCTATTTTTTAAAAATGTGAAAATTTCCTTATCAATGCGATCTTGTTATTGTTGATGCCTTAATATATGAGCATAATTCCCTTCAAGAGAGCTACATATGGTGTCAGTTTAAGTATCTATTAATTGTATTATCTGCTCAAAGGCAGGGGTATCCTCCGGAGTCATTGTGGCCCACTTACGAGTCTCCATGTAATGCTCCTATCCTCTGTATTACATGAGCCCCCCAAGTGAGTATATGTGCACCGTATATATAAAATGAAAAATATGCAATTCAATCTTTTAAATAAAACACAATATCTCTTAATTTAATTACTTCTTTTTTTAATTCATGCTTTGTGTTATGCATAATTTTTTTTTTCATTTTATATACAGTTGTCACACACTTGTATCAGTATCTATTCTACAAGCAATGGATAATAAAATAATTATCAGAAATAAGATTTGATACAGGTTTGTTAATTATTATAATTATGAAAAGACATGAAGAAAATCTTCATATTCCTTTTTTCATGCCCAAGTACGTGTCTGTGTAACTAAATCATCACCAGCTGAATACTACAGAACAAGACAATAAATAGGGTTCTACAAAAAAGATATCTGATACAATATAAAACACTGATAATCCTTGTATGACTCCTCATTGCCAAGTTAATAGTTTCTCCACTGCAAGCTGAATTTCTACTATGAAAGCTCTGCAAAGTTATTTAAAATTTACTGCTGTAGTGAAACTAGTAATTCACTACTACATTTCATGTTCCAAGACTTTGCTATGTGTCGCCATTAAAACATGATAATAAATTGATTCTATATGTTATCATATAGTTCTATATGTTATACATTTAGGTTTGATTTATGAGACATCTACATCTAAACAAAAAAAGAAACATGTCTTGTTTTAATAGGTGAAAAATTACATAAGTGATAAAACCCATAAAATATGCCCTGCTCACACAACCAGTTTAATTTGCAGTAAATTAATTCTAAGTAAACTAATGCAAATCAAACTCATGCGAATCAAACTAATGCGAATTAAATTGCGTTCATACAACAGCTAATGCAAAGTAAACTCAATTGGATTAAAATTTTTCTTCTACAGCCAGGCATCAGTAAGCCTGGCTCAAAATTTAATTCAAATTAGCTTCGCTTAGCATTCACACAGAGCTAATGCGAAGTAACTAGCACAGTAAATGAATTCAAATTAAACTAATTCGCATTAACTTAAGTTTAATTTGAATTAAACTCTTCATGTGAGCAGGGCATTAAAAAGTAAATATATTTTTTAACAAATTGCAAATCATTAAATTGGGAAATTCCTGAAGTCCAAGTGTTACTATACTGTGTCAGCATATAAAAATTGACCTCATCATCTGAAAAAAGAAAGTTTAAAAATGCCAAAGTTCGTATTTCATTTGCACAAATTACTAAATTGATAAACCTAATGCATTGTAGAAATGCAGTTGTTATTGCATATGGTGGAGTCAAGCAGACTTGTATGCTGTAAATGGATGTTCAGAAGAGGGGATTTTTCAAAGAGGAACATATTATTTCGTAAGGTGTAAAGCAATCTGACATTTCGAGAAACCAGAAGTCTCTGTTAAGAGTGAAGCTCTACTGGTTTGTACATGTAACAAAGGAAGAGTAACTTGAAACTTTAAAACAGTAACATCTAGAATAAGTCTTTTTTGTGGCAAAATTTCAATTAAATAAGCTGCAATAATTTAATCTGAGATTCCTCTGACTCTAACCCCTGCGTTTACATTGTGACTTGTGCAGGCCCCTGCACAAGTCATAATGTAAACGCAGGGGTTAGAGTCAGAGGAATCTCAGATTACAATAATGTAGCCCTCTCCCTTTATTTTGGGAGAGGGTTACAACTCCGTAGGATCTCCGTAATGGTGCACAGCTGGAGCGATTCATTCTCGTACGGATTTCAACTCAAATTGTCACTAAATGGGTACTGTAAACCAACTTTTATTCGCGACGACATAAGTTCGCGATTTAACAAGGTTAAACTAGATCGCGACGATTAATTTTCGCGATCAAGCCTTTTTGGATCTTTAATTTATAGACAAATAACACATTAAGGACAGGTTCGCGGCGAGAAATATTCGCGATGACGATGCTCTCGCGAAATTTGCGAAAATTTCTCGCACGCGAATAAAAGTTGCTTTACAGTATTTTATTTATATGTCTTACCTGGACCCAAACATAAATTGATCCAAAAATATACAGAACAATCCATATATCCGTATTTTTCGTGTATGTCAACATCACAACTTAAATTTATCCTCCATGATTGATGACCTTGACAGATTTATTTTGGGACCGCCAATTTGATTAAGGACCTATAGGGAGCGAATTTCTTTGGAAATATTTTAAGCTTAAATAACGCTGATTACGAAAAAATGACACATGGAATGATTTTATTTATCGATGTTTAGTGTTGCTATTCATCATAATTATTTATACATTGTCAATTGCTTTATTAAGTTATTCTAAATTTCAAGCGCGTCAGTACGTCATGCGTGAACTGTCATGGCTGCTGAAAAAGGCAAACAGATGTATTTTACATGGTTTTCGCATTTAACGGGCTATGTTGTCAACAATGAATAAAAATTCCCTCTTATTAGAAATACGCTGAATGCAAATGCAGTCACCCGTATTTAAAAAATATCTTTGCACCATTAAAGAGATGCTGTGGAATTGTAGCCCTCTCCAGAAAACATCAAATTAAAAAATCGGAGAGAGTTACATTATTGAAGTTAAAATAAAGTAAGAACTCTGGGAGTAGCTCTTAATAAAATATTACAGAATTTTCAAATTTGGTTACCATGGCAATATCTTTCATCCACAAAAAAAAAAAACCCAAAAAAAACTACTCAAGATGATAATGTATCTCAGAGTAGTCTACTTGCAGGCTACATTATATTAAACACTAGACAAAATTGCTAATACACCACATGTTCATTCTTATTTGTGAATTGACCATTTGCCAGATTGATACTAGTGTATATAATATACCATTATCTCATGTTATTATGTAAAATAACTCTTAATTCGTTGATAGGATTTATTTTAAGTTTGGCGTATCTGGTCGCAGTGAAATATGACAAATTTGGGAGCGGCTGCGGAGTCATCTCCCCAACATTCAACAACAAATGTGGCGACCCAAAAATGAAATTTTTCTATCGCCTGAACCAACCTACCAATGAGTTCGTATGCTAGCTCATAGGCGCTTGGTTACAGGATGGTGTATTTTGTGTAATATGTGTTTTTCCATGTGTGCCTGAATACCCTCATTAAAATAAAAAAAAAAATCGCCGAAATTAGCACGTTTTAAAAAATGTCATATTTACTGTATATAAAAAGAGTAAAGGAGCGTCACTCGCCATCTTGAATCAGAGGGGGTGCCTTGGTTCATACTTGATTTTAATTAATATCTACATTTTTCTACCGGTGTCGGATGAGATCTAGCTTCAAAAATGATTGAATAACACCTTTCAAACGTCTGCCGATTTGATTGATTGATTGTATATTGTTTAACGTCCCTCTTGAGAATTTTTCACTCATATGGAGACGTCACCGTATGCCGGTGAAGGGCTTCAAATTTAGACCTATACTCGGCACTCAGGGACATTGTGCAGTGAGGGTTCTTTATCGTGCCAGCGCCTACCGTGACACGGGACCTACGTTTTTAAGGTCATATCCGAAAGACCTGTGACTTTCACTTCTGATGCCGAGCGCTTGGCAAAGGAACAGTCGCTACCTATTTTTACGTCTTAGGTTTGACGCGGCGCCGGGAACGAGAATCGAACCCGGGCCTCCCGATCACGAAGCGAACGCTCTACCACTAGGCTACCGTGAACGGTCTCTGCCGATTTGAACTTGCCGTATAAAACATGCAGTAAACACAAAACGTCTTCTATACCATGTACAGACATCGAAAGCAATGTAATTGCCGATTTCTAACCATGAAAAATGTAGAGGTGTCCCGGAATTACACAGAAAATCTTGAGAGAACAGGTTTTGTGCGATTTCTGGCCTCTCTAGATTTTCCATGTATTTCCCTGACATTTTACATAGTCGAAATCGCCACATCTGTTGCTTTCAATAAACAGGTGCAAGAATCGAGGACGTTTCGGTTCAATGCTTGTTCAAAACGGCATATGTAGCTCAACAGATGATAGGAAGTTGTCATTCAATCATTTTTGAAGCTAGATCTCGTCCGACACCGGTAGAAAAAATGTAGATATTAATTAAAATCAAGTGTGAACCGAGGCACCCCCTCCGATTCAAGATGGCGAGTGACGCTCCTTTACTCTTTTTATATACAGTAAATATGACATTTTATAAAACGTGCTAATTTGGCAATTTTTTATTTTTATTTTAATGAGGGTATTCAGGCACACATGGAAAAACACATATTACACAAAATACACCATCCTGTAACCAAGCGCCTATGTGCTAGCTTAGAAAGGGGGAAATTGTGTCACGTCGTACCATGCTTATATAGTCACTGTGGCGTTTCTGACAAAAAAAACAGGTATGCGCAACCTGAAATATTCGCAAAGCACATAATCAACAAGAGATGTTTGTAAGACACTTATGCCTCCCTCCCCTCAAATTGGAATTTTTCCAAGTCCAATCATACCCAAATCAGAACTTGACCTAGATATTTATCTGATAAATCTGTACACTAATTCCCCTCTTATAAATCAAATAACAATTATTGCATGACTCTCATAAAGCCTAGTAATCATCCAGTGCCTTAGTGTCCATACCAAATCCACTCAACTTTCGGTTGACCTAGTTTTGCAGAACAATTTTCAACTTATTGCATGCTGCTAACTTAATACCATGAATATCTGTAGTTAAAATTTTATATTTGATAATCTATTTGCAAGAATTTTTCTTAAGTAGAATTCATAAGCTTTTTTTTGATTTCATTTTTTACAGATTTCTATAAAGGTAAACCCCTGCATATGCCACACTTTATGCTTTAGCATGCTCTTCTAGCATCAAACGCCGCATATGGTGTAACTTTTTTCTGAGTTTTTGATTAGTAAGAATGTAAAAAACACGATATGAAGAAAAAATTGAAATTTTTTCTTCGAAAATGGAATAGACACTATTTTAATTTTTCTATGAATTGGTCACACTTTACTTAACATTGCAGTTATTTATAAGGTTTGACATGAATTAATATGCCTTATTTTTTGTTAAAATATTAAATAAATCATAAACAGGTTTCTAAAAGTAAAATATTAACTCTCTTAGGTGATGCATTAGCAATTTTGTCTATTTTAAATAGACTAAAACTGTACATGTATTAGGAGAAACATTTTGAAAGTTGCAAAGAAAATACTTTTTTTTAATAAACATGACAACACCACTCATTGATATTAAAAACTAATATACAGAATTATTATGCTTCCTGTCGGTTTGTCTCTATATAACCCATACTATTCTCTCATACTGTTCTAAGGATTTATATAGCGTAAGCATACTATGCCGAAATAGTGCATGACCTTGTTTTCTGAATAAAATTCTTCAATGCACACCCCGGGAATCGAACTCACGACCATGAGGTTGCCAGTCCGATGCCTTATCGATTACGCCACTGACGATCACTGATTGGAGGAATTTTATTAAATTCTTAAACTTAATTTAAACGATTGACACAAGAGAAAATAGACAAATATTATTTGAAAACAGCTATATTATTCTAAGGAACCATAGATAAATGTGTACAACAAAGTTTCAAACTAATTACATACAGATTGTTAGATGAACTGATATCATGGGGTCATTAAAACGCTTAGATTTTTATATAATGCTTGATTGAAGGATGTAAAATAAAAATTATCAATGAGAATCGACGTCTGCAAACAAATCAGTCTTACTTACAAAACAGAAAATAATAAAGATGAGTCACTTTAGGACAAAATCCCGACTTATCAAGAGAAAATACAGTAGGGTACTAGTAACCAAAATAACTAAGCTTGTAACCAATTTTAGCATGAAGATTTTGAATGAAATCTTGCAAGTGCCCTGTGTTAGCACCGATATTTTCAGTAAAAAGTCAAATTGCCGCATAAATAATTACAACAGTCAGCATAATAATAACAATAGTGTTGCATTATGTATGTACTATGCCTAAATAGTAGGCAGGGTTTTACACATGGTGAACTCGCCTCCGGCTTGTGCACAATGTGTCAAACCTGCCTACTATATTTAGGCATAGTACATGCATAATGCAACACTATTATATAAATATGTATCAGTGTAGTTTACTGAATTATGTGCCAAAACTGTAGGAGGAGTAGTGAAAAATTGCAAATAGACAGACAGAAGGAAGGACAGGGTTCACCTTTCTATTGCATAACCTCTTATGGTCTCTGACCAGTCGAGCTAAAAATTGTATACAGACAGACAGACAGCTAGGCAAATAGACGGATGACAGACACCTTACTATCACTTAAGCTCTTCTTGTTTCTGACCAAACAAACTAAAAATTCAGATGTATTTAATGCTTAATGTTGCATTTCTTTTGCGTGTCGGTATATTTTTAAAACTTCCTTGACAGAAAAAAATCAGACAGAAAGTTTTTCTACTCCCTTCTTGTATTTTAGTCTCCTCTGTCTCCTCAGATTAAACACTTTTATCCTGATCTTCTTGGTTTTCTCCCCAGTAGGATAATCCCTTAGAATGTTTGGATTCTTGGTAAGGAATTTTTTTATTTTCTTTGCCACTGTAAAGTTTAAGAAAAAAATTAGTCAGCATGGTCAGAATAATTATTCTTTTTAGATTAGGTTATGTAAACCCGTCTAGTCATTTACTGTCAGTCAGGGTCTCAAAACGGAGGCCATTGCCCAAAAAACATGAATCAAATCTATACTATAAGGAAAAGTGCAGATATTTTGATCAAAATGCAAACAGTCTGGATCAAACTGAAGAGAGTAATATGAATTTTTAATCAAATTGAAGAGGCAATTTGAAAATATCAATTGTTAATCACACTTGTAAACATTACCGTGTAATGGTCCTGCATTCCCCTCGTTTTCGAAATCATTGATATCTTCCTTGAAATATGATTGTATGGCTTTATCCTCCTCTGGTAGCCAGCTGTGTCTCTTGACTTTCCTTGATGCAGCTGTCAAAGAGAATTCGTTCAAATCAAAGAAAAGGTTTGGAAATTAACATACCTACAATGTTAGGGGAATAGTAGCTGTAATTTAATAGCTATGATTAAGCTATAACAGATGAAAAACCTAGCATTTTTAGGTTGACCTTCTACATCATAGGGCATACAATTTTATGTAAAATTAATCCATTTGAAGTACCAAAGCAAGGAACTAACATATTAACCCCCTTGGGTGTCATGATTTGAACAAAGTAGAATTTACACTACCTGAGGATGATTCCATATGAATAGAAAAATATCACTAATCATGGCTTTAAAGTACTTGAAAAGAAGATTTTAAAAGGTTTCCCTATATATCCCTATGTAAAACCTTGGTCTGCCATTTTGGCCCCACCCTAGCCCCGGGGGTCATGATTTGAACAAACTTGAATCTACACTACCTAAAGATAATTCCACTTAAGTTTCAACTTTCCTGACATAGTGGTTCTTGAAAAGAAGATTTTAAAAGATTTTTCCTATATATTCCTATGTAAAACTTTGGTTGGCCATTTTGGCCCCACCCTAGCCCCAGGGGTCATGATTTGAACAAACTTGAATCTACACTACCTGCTGATAATTTCATTTATGTTTCATATTTCCTTTCTCAATGGTTCTTAAGAAGAGGATTTTTAAATATATTTCAGATATATTCCTATGTAAAACTTTGGTTGGCCATTTTGGCCCCACCCTTGCCCCAGGGGTCATGATTTGAACAAACTTGAATTGACACTATCTGAGGATGATTCCACGTGAGTTTCATCTTTCCTGGCCCAGTGGTTCTTGAGAAGAAGATTTTTAAAGATTTTTCCTATATTTTCCTATGTTAAACTTTGGTCGGCCATTTTGGCCCCACCCTAGCCCCGGGGGTCATGATTTGAACAAACTTGAATTGACACTATCTGAAGATGATTCCACATGAGTTTTATCTTTCCTTTCTCAGTGGTTCTTGAGAAGAAGATTTTTAAAGATTTTTCCTAAATATACCTATGTAAAACTTTGGTCGGCCATTTTGGCCCCACCCTAGCCCCGGGGGTCATGATTTGAACAAACTTGAATTTACACTACCTGAGGATGATTACACTCAAGTTTCATCTTTCCTGGCCCAGTGGTTCTTGAGAAGAAGATTTTTAAAGATTTTTCCTATATATTCCTATGTAAAACTTTGGTTGGCCATTTTGGCCCCACCCTAGCCCCGGGGGTCATGATTTGAACAAATTTGAATCTACACTACCTGAGGATAATTCCACATGAGTTTCATCTTTCCTGGCCCAGTGGTTCTTGAGAAGATTTTTTAAAAATGCTATTAATTTTTCACTAATTCATAATTATCTCCCCTTGGAAGAGGGCATGGCCCCTCATTTGTACAAACTTCAATCCCCTGTACCCAAGGATACTTTGTGGCAAGTTTGGTTGAAATTGGCCCAGTGGTTCTTGAGAAGAAGATGAAAATGTGAAAAGTTTACAACGATAACGACAACAACGACGACGACGACAACGATGGACAAATTTTGATCAGAAAAGCTCATTTAAGGCTCAGGTGAGCTAAAAAGTTAATGGCTATTTCAATTCATTTCATGCATTACACGTGCATGCACATGCATGCACGTGCGCGCAAAATGACCTTCGTTCCGCATAACATACCTAGTTACCCTAAAAAGGTTTCACCTAGATCGGATGAGTAGTTTACAAGAACACTCGCGGACAAAAAAGTACCGGAGAACAAAAAAAGAAAATTCAGAAAAAAAGTAAAAATAATTTGTTCCCAAACTTCGTTTGGGGAACATAATTATGTATCTTAGTGTAGTCTACTTGTGTGCCAAGTTATACTGAAATCAAGACTAAAACTGTAGGAGGAGTATCATTTTTAAAAGATTTCTTAAACTACTTTTAGTACCCACAGCAACATAGTTCATTGAAATGTCTTTTATAAAACAAGAGGCCCAGGGGCCACAGCGCTCACCTGAGCACATCAGCTAGGAAAAAACACAGATCAGAACTGAAAATTAACTTAAGTTGGGGGGGGGCTTGAATTTTAACCCCCAAGGGGATCATAATTTGAATGAACTAGAATCTACATTACCTGAGGATGATTCCATATAAATATTACTAATCCTGGCTTTGAAGTACTTGAAAAGAAGATTTATAAAGATTTCCCTATACATTTCTATGTAAAACTTTGGTCGGCCATTATGGCCACAGCCTTACCCCGGGGTCATGATTTGAACAAACTTGAATCTACACTACCAGAGGATAAAATCACATGAGTTTTAATTTTCCTGTTTCAATGGTTCTTGAGAAGAAGATTTTTTAAAGATTTCTCCTATATATTCCTATATAAAACTTTGATCAGCCATTTTGGCCCCGCCCTACCCCCCGGGGGTCATGACTTGAACAAACTTGAATTTACACTACCTGAGGTTGATTCCACATGAGTGTCATCTTTCCTGGCCCAGTGGTTCTTGAGTAGAAGATTTTTAAAGATTTCTCCTATATATTCCAATGTAAAACTTTGATCGGCCATTTTGGCCCCGCCCTACCCCCGAGGGTCATGACTTAAACTTGAATCTACACTACCTGAGGATGATTCCACATGAGTTTCATCTTTACTGGCCCAGTGGTTCTTGAGAAGAAGATTTTTAAAGATTTTTTCCTATATATTCCTATGTAAAACTTTGATCGGCCATTTTGGCCCCGCCCTACCCCCGGGGGTCATGACTTGAACAAACTTGAATCTACACTACCTGAGGATGATTCCACATGAGTTTCATCTTTACTGGCCCAGTGGTTCTTGAGAAGAAGATTTTTATAGATTTTTCCTATATATATTCCTATGTAAAACTTTGATCGGCCATTTTGGCCCCGCCCTACCCCCGGGGGTCATGACTTGAACAAACTTGAATCTACACTACCTGAGGATGATTCCACATGAGTTTCATATTTCCTGGCCCAGTGGTTCTTGAGAAGAAGATTTTTTAAAAATGCTAATATTTTTTCTCTAATTCATGATTATCTCCCCTTGGAAAAGGGCGTGGCCCTTCATTTGAACAAACTTGAATCCCCTTCACCCAAGGATACTTTGTGCCAAGTTTGGTTGAAATTGGCCCAGTGGTTCTTGAGAAGAAGATGAAAATGTGAAAAGTTTACGACGACGACAACAACGACAGCAACAACGACGACGACAGACGATGGACAAATTTTGATCAGAAAAGCTCACTTGAGCCTTTGGCTCAGGTGAGCTAAAAACAATGTAAAGAACTAGATGCTGTCATGAGACAGTAATACCCGCACTAAGGTGTTTGCCTATAAATACACACTCCTACATATTGGGCGGTTTTCCAAGGAAAAAGTCAAAATAATTCTATAATTTACATGTATTCCTCAAATTGAGTTATGAAATTCTCAGTCCCTGTGACCATGTGACCTATGACTCAGAATCTCTTATATGTATTTTACATGTTCAATTCATTACCAGTTTGAATTTAATCAATGATGTAAATTAGATTTTGATAAAATTGTTTTGCTCATAATAGGACCTTTTTAAATTTACTAATCCCCCCTCCTCGACAGCAAAAAAAAAACCACGGCACGTACTTTTTGGGAATAAGCTAGATGGAAAAGTTATGTTAAAACACCGTTCGTTATGAATTAATTAAAAAAATTTGTTCTTGTACTATACATGTTTAAATTTACTAATACCCCCCCCCCCATTCGACAGCAAAAAAAAAAAAAAACAAAAACAAAACAAGGCACATAATTTTTTTGGAATAGGCTAGATGGAAAAGTTATGTTAAAACATCGTTTGTCATGAATTAATTTTAAATCTGTTCTTGTACTATACATGTTTACAAGTAACCACCTTATGGAAAATTTCTACATCACATTGGGTTGCATCACCCATTATCATATTTTTAGATTAAGCGCCATTCGGACTCCTCGGCCTATTCCTTCATCTTCATCTTTATCTGATAAGGCAAGGGAATCGACCAAGGTGTCTCGAATGAGATAGCATTATAGCATGCTGCAGTTTGATGTGCAATGGATTAATTCATTTTGTGTTATAATTTGATTATATTTCATGAAGTTGACAGGACCTATGACAGTTGGTAAGTACAAGTTTAAGTATAGTGGGGGTAAAATAAACCAAAAGGATTAGGTTAAAGTTCAAAACGGGTCAAAGATCATCGCTTGCCACAATAGACGAATGTCATATTGTGATTTTATCTCCCGTTGTCAATGTGACATTCAGTTACTGTCATTACTTGTGCAGATCCAGAATTTTTTTCCGGGAGTGGGGAGGATGGTTCACATCTCAGTCAAAATATTCCAGCCCAGAATTTCCTGACAAGCAGGAGAAAAAAACTGAAAACAAATAAACAAAATAAAAACAATGGTCGTGGGGTCAATTTTTTCTAAGTTAAGGGGATGATTTCCAGAGTCATTTTTTATTTGCTTCAGTATCAGTGGCGGATTTAAGGGGGGGGGGGGGGCGGCGTAAATCACAGTTTCGTCTGGAAAATGTAAAGTAAATATTTCTACTTGGTAGACCTCATTTTCACCCTACAAAATCTCCAGAATCCAAGAGCTTCCCAAACCTTAACCCTGGGCCCTCACCAGGGCTTTGCTCTGGACCCACTGGGGGCCTCAAGGCTAACTTTGGTGCCCCCTCTAACTTTAATTCCTGGATCTGCGCCTGAGTATATAGTCTTGTTTAAATAACAAAGCATATTCCAGGGGGGGGGGGGGGGGGTCCAATCTCCCTAGTCACTCCCTGTCCCTGAAATTACAATTAATTTTATGACTCCAAAATAGTAGGTTTTTTCTCATTTGAATAATTATACATATTTTGTTTCTTGTGTTTACATTATGTCTGTCTATTTGTCTGCAGAAACTTTTACCTTGCCTATAAGTGTTAAGTGGGATGGGCTATACACATGGCTTGCATATTTCATAGGTTAATTCCTTGTGACATAAGATCTTTTATTTGAGTAGTACCATGAATTTTGGCCTGTTGATCACTTGACCTTGGGTTTTTAAACATTTTTACAAGAAAAATACCCAACTTTTAACTTAACCTAAAAACTGATCAGTAAGTGCAAGGGCTTTCATGCTTAAGATGCGTATTCATTGTGAACTGTCAACAGTTATAAATATGCTTGACCTTGACCCTAGAGTTTGAACCACTTAAAAAAAACGTTAACCTTGGCAATAAACTTTTGAACAGGAAGTACTATGAATTTCTTATTTCACATGTGTATTCCTTGTGACAAGACTTTCTTCTGATATCAAAAATTTGAAACCTTTGACCTTGACCTTTGAGTTTAACATATATTTGAGAAACTTCAAAGCCATAGACTTCCATACAGGGGCATCAGTGTTTCATAAACACATCTTGTCTTCATTACTATTTGGTGGTGTCTCCATATGAGGGAAAAATTCCCATGAGAGATGTTTTCACAACATACAAGCAAATTACTAAAGAGAAAATATAAAACAGGAATATGTTAGTCATATCTCTGCATGAAAAAAAACCCAGCTTTTCAAATACTGTAAACATTGTAACCCTTTCAAAACACTCATATGAGCTTTCCTGGTTTCCTTATCATATAATGTCTGTTGTCCATCTGTTCATCTGAAATCTTTTTACATTTTTAACTTCTCTGGAACCACTGGGCCAATTTTACCCAGTTCACATAGAAATATATGTACATTTGTACGTCAGTCTGTCCATCTGTCTCAATAAATTTAACCGTGGTCATCACGGTCATATCTATTGAATGAGAAGAGACAAGGCATTCATATTAAACTTATGTATTAGTATTTATCTGTGAGAATAGCATGATTTTTAGCTCACCTGAGCCGAAGGCTCAAGTGAGCTTTTCTGATCACATTTTGTCCGTCGTCCGTCCGTCTGTCCGTCCGTCCCTCCGTCTGTCCGTCCGTAAACTTTTCACATTTTCGACTTCTTCTCAAGAACCAATGGGCCAATTTTAACCAAACTTGGTACAAAGCATCATTAGGTGAAGGGGAGTTTAAATTGTTAAAATGAAGGGCCAAGTCCCCTTACAAGGGGAGATAATCAAGAAAAGACAAAAATAGGGTGGGGTCATTAAAAAATCTTCTTCTCAAGAACCACTGAGCCAGGAAAGCTGAAACTTATGTGGAAGCATCCTTGGGTAGTGTAGATATTAAATTGTTAAAATCATGACCCCCGGGGGTAGGGCGGGGCCACAATAGGGAACCCAAGTTTTACATAGAAATGTACAGAACAGATCTTTAAAAATCTTCTTCTCAAGAACCACTGGGCCAGGAAAGCTGAAACGTATCTGGAAGCATCCTGGGGTAGTATAGATATTAAATTGTTAAAATCATGACCCCCTGGGGTTGGGCGTGGCAACAATAGGGAATTCAAGTTTTACGTAGAAATCTATAGAACAATTCCTTAAAAAATCTTCTTCTCAAGAACCACTGGGCCAGGAAAGCTGAAACTTATGTGGAAGCATCCTGGGGTAGAGTAAATATTAAATTGTCAAAATCATGACCCCCAGGGGTAGGGCGGGGCCACAATAGGGAATATAAGTGTTACATAGAAATATATAGAACAAATCTTTAAAAATCTTCTTCTCAAGAACCACTGGGCCAGGAAAGCTGAAACTTATGTGGAAGTATCCTGGGGTAGAGTAGATATTAAATTGTTAAAATCATGACCCCCGGGGGTAGGGCGGGGCCACAATAGGGAATCCAAGTTTAACATAGATTTATTTAGGAAAAATCTTTTAAAAATCTTTTTCTCAAGAACCACTGGGGCAGGAAAGCTGAAACTTATGTGAAAGCATCCTTGGGTAGTGTAGATTCTAAAGTATTAAAATCATGAAAGGGGAGGGGGTAGGGGGCATGATAGGTATAGCAAGAGGGGAAATCTGGTAAAGAACTTCATCACCCAAGTTACTCAGGTGAGCGATGTGGCCCATGGGCCTCTTGTTTTTATATGTGATCTAGAAGTTTGATCTACTTGCAAAAAAATATTTTTTTTGAAATTCATCATTTTGAGAGAGAAAACTTAGGGCAATCATAATTATACATGCATGTATATTATTACCTATGATAAGACCATTCCAAATAAATCATGACTTTTGACTCTGTGACCTTGACCTTGAAGCTTAACCTACTTTTCAAAAATGTTGCATTTGCTTATAACTTTTGATAGAGAAGAGATATGACTTTCACATTTGACATGTACATTAATTACTCATAAGAATTCAAGATGTTTCCCAGCATGTGATGCTTTTTTACCCCTGGACATTGATGTTTTACCAAATTTTCTAAATATTTAACTCTCCTAAAAGATGATTAGGCTTCTGAGTAAAATTATGGAGGAGTTCAGGGAAGACGGGGCTTTTTGCATAAAAAGTGTCATTTTTTGACCCCCATTTGACCCCCCGGGGCAAAATCAAAATTCCAAAAACTTACTGCACATCTACATGACACCACCAACCATCTCCCAAAAGATGATTAGGCTACTGTGTAAAATGTAGGAAATGTTCAGGGAAGACAGGGCTTTTTGCATAAAAAACATCATTTTTCGACCCCAATTTGACCCCCAGGGCAAAATCAAAATTCTGAAACCTTACTGCACATCTACATGACACCACCAACCATCTCCCAAAAGATGGTTAGGCTGCTGTGTAAAATGTAGGAGGAGTTCAGGGAAGACGGAGCTTTTAGCATAAAAAACGTCATTTTTCGACCCCCATTTGACCTTCCGGGGCAAATTCAAAATTCCGAAACCTTACTGCACATCTACATGACACCACCAACCATCTCCCAAAAGATGGTTAGGCTACTGTGTAAAATGTAGGAGGAGTTCAGGGAAGACGGAGCTTTTAGCATAAAAAACGTCATTTTTCGACCCCCATTTGACCCCCCGGGGCAAAATCAAAATTCCTAAACCTTACTGCACATCTACATGACACCACCAACCATCTCCCAAAAGATGATTTAGCTACTATGTAAAATGTAGGAGGAGTTCAGGGAAGACGGGGCTTTTAGCATAAAAAACGTCATTTTTCGACCCCCATTTGATCCCCCGGGGCAAAATCAAAATTCCGAAACCTTACTGCACATCTTCATGACACCACCAACCATCTCCCAAAAGATGATTAAGCTACTGTGTAAAATGTAGGAGGAGTTCAGGGAAGAAAAGTGTGACAGACGGACGGACGGACAGACGGACGGACATGAGTAATAACAATATACCCGAACTTTCTTTAGAAAGTGCGGGTATAATTATGCATCTTTGTGTAGTTTACTCGTGTGCCAAATTATATTGAACTCAGAACAAAATTGTAGGAGCAGAAGCATTTTGAAAATATTTCACAGAAATATCTATTTCTAGAAACCAAGGCAACACTATTCAGTGAAATCAAAAACTGATCATAATTGTATCTTAGTGTAGTTTACTTGAGTGACAAGTTATACATATGTAGTCGCCCGCGTGGCGCAGTGCTTAGAGCGTCTGCTCTAGAGCCGCGAAGTAAGGAGTCAATCCTTACATCGCAGGTTCGAATCCCATTGTGGGACGTGGAGACCGGTCCTTCTGATATAGCCATATAAACTGAGGCCCCGTGTTGCAGTAGGTGCTGGCATGAAAAAGATCCCTCACTGCTCAAAGGCCCTGAGTGCCGAGCACAGGACAAAATTTGTAGCCCTCCACCGGCAAGTGGTGGCTTCTCCATATAATTGAAAAATTCTTGAGAGGGACATTAAACAACATACAATCAATCAATCAATATACATATGTATTGAAATTAGACTAATATATAGAAGGGGAAGCTTTTCTAAAGTAATTTATAGAAATTTGTATTTTTAGTAACTACGGCAACATTTTTAATTGAGATCAAAAACCGATAAACAGAGTTATGTATCTTATTGTAGTTTACTTGTCTGCCTAGTTATATTGAAATCAGACCAAAACTGTAGGAGGAGTAGCATTTTGAGTAATTGTTTCCAGACAGATGGACAGACAGCTACACAGACTGCTAGATGAACAGATATTTTTATTTATAAAAATTTTGGATAAAACTGAATTTATTCCGACCTCATAATGGTTAACATTTACTTATCTTCCAAGTTTCAGAAAGTAACTAGTTAAAAGTCAATCTTTCAAAGGAGCATTCCGAGTTGTCCACTCTGTATTTTTATAAGATTCCATCAATGTTTATACCAAATATCTAACCCATATATATTATCCGAATTAATCAAATACCTGTATTCAAAAGACAAAAATAAATTAACATGTTTCTAACTTACATTTCAAAGATTCAATTTCACTTCCATCATCTTCTGACCCAACTGAACTGTCATCCTCACTTGAATTTGATGAATGCTCAGGATCTGTGTCTTTATTAGTTTTACCTTTTCGTCTTCTGGAAATTTTCATACTACTGGGTCCTGGCAGCTTTATAATAAAGTATTTATATTTTAATTTTTTAAAATTATATTTAAGGCCATAATAAATAAATTGCCAGATTCTCATTCGAATTTTTTTTTTTAAATTGAGGCGGGCGGCTTTTATTTTACATATTTTTTTTTTCAATTTTGCAGACTTTTATTGACCTTGTCAATCAGTGTAATTTTATCTACAATACCCGAATAAGAGTCATAGTAAAGGTCCAATTATCTCTTACTTCACATCATCACCAAACTTTTTCAACCAATGACCTTTGTTTAAAATATATACACATGTATTACAGCAATTACCATCTTTTCAGCGGTCAAAATCATGTCGACTTTCACGGGATTTAAAACGAAAGTAGAATGGTAGATGTATACCTATGGCACGCCGATTGCTTCAAAATTATTTTCTGCACAACGATCACGATTTTATACACGAGCTTGATGGAAAAATATACACGAGTAAAATAAAAATGCACGTATCGGTAAAAATTGCACATAGTTTGGAAGATTTTAACACAAACATAACGAAAAATACACGAATCCGAAATTTTTTACACGATTAAGGGTTATAAAATGCACAAACGTAAAATCAAAAACTGCACGAGCAGAGGAAACTAAAAATTACACAAACAATTTTTTACTGCGCATACAGCTGCGCATATCATTATTATGCACATATATAGAATATTAATTGTGTTCTTGGTTTTCTGTACTCTTTATCTCTTCATGAATGCTGGATGTAATCGAGAGAAAATGGCGTTGACGATAATATGCATGTTTGTTTGCTTCTTTATTTCTTTGCTAAAACTCGATCCGATTTCTAGCTAATGCCAATCTAACGAATGAAATGTTTTCTTGTGAACTGTGTGAAAAAATTTAAAAGTTGTTCGGAGATATTATGTTTTTCTAATATTGACCGAGATCCTAGCCAAAATATGGAGGTATTAAATGATGCCGGACATAAATTGTAACTAGAAAGGAATCGCATGTCTGTGTTATAATGCGGGGAAAAAAGTACCATTCCATATGATTCACTCGACTCCAAACTAAAAGTAATAAGCTCTATGGCCTTTTAATATTCCTAACTTATAGATACAACTTTAACGGGAAGTACTTGTATAAAATAAAATTAACACATGCGTAATAAAACGATTAATAAAGTGGATTCTTCATGAAAATGATGGCAGAATTATTGCTGATTATAATCATTAAATTGTAGAATTTATTTTGGTACTTCTCGTTTGTACTATAATTATGAATTCATTTGGGCAATTTTTTTTTTTCATTTAGGAATAGGAAATTATTCAGTTGGCTGGATATATTTTTTATTTTCAGAAAGATTAAAAATGGGGATTACCTGACCTTAGATATACACAGTATGTTTTAAAGGTCAAACATAAAAAAATATTTTATTTCTAATTATACATTTATCTTTACTTATAAAATATAAGGATATCAATTTTGGTTGGATATCTGTAGCCTACACTGTTATGAATTCCTTAAATGATATCGCATATTTTCAGTCATAAACTACTCAATAAAAGACATTCCTAGGGGTAAGCGTTACCCTCATTCGTAATGGCGATTACTTGATAAATGTTTTCACTTTTAATAAAAAGGACCAGATAAAGGGAAAATATATATATTCTATGTACTTTATGTACATGCGGTTTTGTGTTTTGTTACTTAAAATTTGTCCAAATGAAATAACAAAACTCTACTCAAATAATCCTGGCACCGGTAAAACATATCATTAGTGGCGGATCTGGTTCGTGGATTGATTGAGTCGCAACATCTGAATCTATGTATTTATTAATTAAAAGTTTCAAATCGTTGGACCATAATGACACATCAGAAATTTTAAAACATAGTGAATTACGTAGAATGTTACAAATAAGAAAATGGGAATGGATTTTATAATAAAAAGAAAGAACATAGCACATGTTTTATCACCCTTGAAAAATGCTAATAAATCATGTTCTTTATGGATCTCGAGGTTTGACAAATATTGTCCAAGATAACAATTCTCTTTACATTTCGAATTCGTATGCTTTCGAATTCGTATGCATAAAATTTTAATTATTTTCCGAACACTAATTTTTTGTAATAACACTTTTTTACCCAAATCTATAGTCATTATAAAAAGAACATGACTTTATAGCAATATTGTACATGTGTATCAATGGCATCAACCAGGTGTTTTACTTTGAGCATGACAACGAATAAATATAAGAAAACATATGATAAATAGAAACCTCAAGAAATCTTTGTTTTATTACCGTGTGCAAATTTATTATTGTCAAAATCTGCATTGAAAATAAATATGCATGTGTAGCCAAGTCCCAGCTAATAAAGTTCATCTTATATGTCTTCTTGAATTTGGTCTTACAATACCGTTATAGTTCAGTTGAATTGCAATCCAGATTTCGATAGACTATTATATGTACCCTTAAATTCTTAAAAAAATATTTCAGGCACGAAGCATCAGGAGGGGTCCCCACTTTTTTCCAAACATAACCCACTTCTATTGTAAATGTCCACTGAAATGCTGGTTGCCCCCCCCCCCCCTCTTTGTTGTAGGATAGTTTAAATCAAAGTAATTCGGTATTATAATGTGTTTCGAAAAGAAAATGGAAGGTGGAACCCCCCCCCCCCCCCCGAAATAGGATTTTCGAATTTGGACACTTTACCTTTTTTTTTGCTTGTCAATGTTTTTTTCAGGTAGGTTGTCAAAAAAATTTCTGGCTGCCCCCCCCCCCCCTTTTGAAAAACCGATACCACGTGCCTGTACGTTATAATTTTTAAATTTTCTTAACTCCTTTATATGCATTTTAACTATTCAAGATAGACTACCGCCGGTGCATTAAAAACAACATAAATAAAGCTTTAATTCACATAAGTAAAACGACTGTATATTTTTTTCTACATTTTCATGGAGTTTTATGAAATCACCACACGTTGCTCAAAAGTTAAGACTACATGTACTACTTTGTTACATACATATATCAAAATGTGAGATATGCGTTTCAATATTAAAATTTAAGTTGCACAATTATTTACTCGATTTTCTTTACTGTTGACTTCCAAAATGTCTTCGGTCAAATTCCACAACCCAGATGATCGCAACATTGCCTCAAAGTCTTTGTATGAAGTGCTAGTAATCTTTAATCAAAAGGTATTATTGGTGTGTCAAAGAGCTATAAATCGATTAGCGTACAGGTGTTTTTCGTTCCAGAACCATGCAGCAGGGAGAGATCTCTGTATGAAAAGGTCACGCATGCACATCCTTGATTATTACCAAAAGTACACACAGTGGGTGGTGGAGGAGAATAGTGTGATTTGTTGTTAAACTACTGTATTATATCACATGTTGTTTTTATCTATTTTTATTTAGGCCTATATGTCATTGTTTTAAACTTTCAAAAGAAATTGCTATATAGAGGATTGACATACTTAAAAAATCCAACAATTAAACACACAACTGGTAATATGCATCCCCTTTTTTTACGTTATCTATACATGTATTCTGTGTAGAATGTTTTTTTATTCGGGGGTGTTCATATACTACAAGTTGAAGATTGCGTGCCTGTCAATTTATCTACATGTATAATATACGTTGTACATATTCTTGAGAGTCTAGCGGAATTTTAAAAGAATCTTTTTTTAAAAAGAATACTCGTTACTCCTCCTTTTGTATTTATAATATGTTTCAAGCATCCAAGCCACATTGAGCTGTTCTCTAATGAATATTAATGAAATGTGCGCAATGAGGATGATTTGCATATTATGTCGATGTTGTATTCTCACTCGTGCAGTTTTCGTTTTTACGTTTGTGTAATTTCCTCACTACATCGTGTAAATATTTTGTTGATTGTGCAGTTTTTCTATAGTTTGTGTAAATTTTAATAACTTCGTGTATATTTTCCTCACTTTGTGTAAGTTTTTACTTACTCGTGTAATTTTTGTTTAAGGTCGTGCAGAAAATAATTTTGAAGCAATCGGCGTGCCATATATACCGATTCCGATCAGAATTACGACATAGAAAAACAGAAATAAAAAAAATTGAGGCGGGGCTTTAAAATCGGGGCGGGCGGGGATGAGAATCTAGGAATATTTTTATTATGGCCTAATGTACATATACAATACCATAGTTAAAATATGTAATGAGAGAAGCATTTGCATTTTTTATGATAATAATAACTTTTAACTAGATATCAGATGAGATGGTGGCCATCTCAAAGGGCCCCGCTTTCAACAATGAACATGAAAATGTAAGGTAGTTTAAAAGGGTTTATTTTGAAAAGGAACATTTGTGTACTACAGTAAAAGTAATTTAGTATGACTTCGCAGATATTGCAAAGAGCAAGAGCCATGTTATACATAAAATGGCCCTGTACTTATCTCAAATAATTAACTATCACCCTCTTTCCCATTTCATATATCAAAATAAAGTATACACTTGGTTAAGTATGAGCCAGATTGGGCCAAGGAGAGAGAGGATATGCTCCAGACAAGGATTTTTCATATAATTCTGCTATGACCTTGACCTTTGAGCTAGAAACATGGTTCAAGGTCACTGCACACTGCTTACCCAAAGGCACTCTGTGAGTGAAGTATGAGCCAGATTGGGCCAAGGAGAGAGAAGATATGCTCTGGAGAAGAGATCTTGAATGGACTGACGGACGGACAGACAGATCACTATAGGGCGCCGGCCAGGCGGGGCCGTAATAAAACCAGGAAGTTTAAAAGCTAAGTTTCATATAATAGAGGCCTTTCATCTACATATAACAATTCAGTTTACACCTTTCGATAGGAAAATTTATTTATCATGATTCTGCCCCTTAATTCCAATACACCATGAGAAAGTAAATTAAAATTTTTTGCATCAATTGATCCATTGATTTCTTTGCATAATAAGGTTAAATTTGTGAAATATATTCATTTAGTTTCATTATTTTAACTTACCTCTGATGTTGAATCAACTACTTCTACAAGTTTTCTTTTTGTTCCTACAATAACAATTATGGTACTTAGTTACATGTAGGTATAAAAGGGTCCATTAACTGGTATCAATATGATCAAAGTAATACAATAAGACAAGAGGCCTAAAGCTGAGTAACTGTACAACCTATGATTTCTTCTTAACGCCTTTCAGTTCAGGTGAACTTAAAAATTGACACACGGCACAAATGACTATTATCTCTTTAAGCCTTTGGCTTAGATTCTATATAATTGATTCTATATATTGTTTAACGTCCCTCTCGAGAATTTTTACTCATATGGAGACGTCACCGTATGCCGATGAAGGGCTTCAAATTTTGACCTTTACTCGGCACTCAGGGCCATTGAGCAGTGAGGGATCTTTATCGTGCCAATGCCTGCCGCTGGCACGGAACTTTCACTTCAGAGAGCGGAGCGCATGGCTAATGAACAGTTGCTACCCGGTTTACCGACTAGGTCAGTCGCGGCCGAGATACGAACTCATGACCTCCCGATCACAAAGCGAGCGCTCTACCGACTGAGCTACCGTGAACGGTCCTTTGGCTTAGAAGATCTAATAATAATCAGGGTAATCATGATTTCCCCAAAACTTCTTCTCCACTCTTAAATCATATCTCAGTTTAGACATCTGTCTTTAAATACAGGTGACTCTTGGTGGCTCAATTTCAACCTCTCAAAGTTCTCTATCTTTTGAAGAGAACCTCCGGTCCCGTTTTTTTCCTCTGTATAATAACTAAGTTTATTTATCAAGTTTATTTATACCTGATCTCTCGAACTTCTGATTTTAGAAGTTTTCTATCTCTCAATCAAAAACATGGGCCCTGTCTTACATATTTCATTGAATTTTACTCTCTATCAGAACTGATAATGGATTTTCTGTACTTTCCATCTCTTGAACCTCTTGATCTCTCAAACTTTTCTTGCAGTCCCTGAACTTTTTGAGATCTAGAGACACCTACATTATAATATCATCCAAAACAAGCATCCCTTGCCGACCGGTCACACCCACAGTGTGCTCCTCTTTATTATCGAGAAATAAGTGGAAAATCCGTCGTCAATTCAGTGTATAATTAATGGACTAACAATTAGTATGAAATATGTCAGTAGGGATTTTACTCAATAGCAAATTGTATTTGCTGACAATTCAGGTCATTGTATCGACCATAGAACTTATTAATTAATGACTTTAAATGATACTGCTGATGTTACTGTTTCATCATGAATTGCATGTATACTTATATAAGGTTATATAATTTCATAAATATTATATCTTTAGTATATCTTTTGTATTTTATTACATAATTGAAATATATACTTTCAAGGCGTAACATATGAAGGAATGGTTATGACAATATGGTTTAAATAATACACAGTTAGACCTCTACAAGTCATAAGTATCAGCCATTTACCTTTCACAAGGCCTGATGAACTGCCAGCTTTGAAAGGCTTCTTTTGCATCTGCGTAACTGTGAAAGAAAATGAAGCAATAATCTGACTCGAATTAAAATCATGACCTTTCCAGAATACTAATAACATAAATAAACAGCAGGGTTTGAATGCATAAAATATCTAAGAATTTAGCTTTTAGAAAAGTTCTTGCAGATACTTTTACTTCAAAACTTTTTATCAAAACTCAATTTTTATAACATTATTTAATTTCAACAATGTTAATGTTTCATTATTCAACCAAAAAAACTGCGCAAAAAACTACAAAAAAGCAAGGTTTATGAGGGACTATTTCTTGAGGTGGAAGGATACTAACCAGATAATTCTGCAAATCTGCACATTTATTAAATTTAATATCTTGGAACTTTACCTCCTGTCACATACTTTTACTTGGAAAATATTTTCCATTAATATTGCTAGGAAATATAGGTCTTAATTTAAATTTTAGAACAAGTTTTACACCTACTTTCAACAAATTTTTCCAAAACGAAGATGTGTAAAAAAAAAATTGAAATACAATTTACACCATTTTTCGCCTGAAAATCACATATTTTGACCAATATGTCGAAATTATCATCACTAACCCCAACTTTTTCTTTCATTATTTTTAAGTACTCAATACTTGTGACTGATCGGCACTTAAGTTGTAAAAAGCTTGATTTAAGAAAATGTTTTATATTGCCTTTTTAGTTTTCCAATAAGTACTTTATATTTTCGAATATCTTACTTTTTAGTTCAAAAGGGTCACACAATAATTCACGCGCATTCAAAATTTGTTCAATGATAAATATTGTTCAAAATATTTTACCTAAAATAAAGTTACCCCAAAATCAAGTTCAATTTTCACGTTTTCCAAATTATGGCTTAATTTCCATACAATTGCAGATTTAAGCACTATATAGGATGCCCTTATTCCTGAACTATTGAAAATGACCTAAGGTGCGCTTATAGAGACAGGGGCATTTAATCTGGATTTTACAGTTACTGTATTATAAAAGGAAAATAGCTTACCATCAAGCATTTTTAGAGTATCCAAAGCAGTAATCCAGGCATCTTTTGTAAAGTACTTCTTAGCACCAGCTTGAACTTTCTTATCCACAAGTAAATCCTTTCTATGCTTTAAATCCTCTAGTAGAATAGTAACATCCTCCTCCTGAACCTGTCTCGTAGAATCCAGCAGTTCCAACACGGAGACATCTTGTGCCATCAAGCCTAAGAATTCTGCAACATAATTATATGAGATACATGTAAATGTTTGTTAAATGATTCTCAGTCAAGCTTTTCTTCTAGTGATAATGGAGATCCAAGGGTAAAAATCTCATTTCAGACATACTTAATTAAATAATTTTTAGTGGAATAAAATCTTAAAATTAAGATAAAAGTTTAACTAGAACTGTTCAATAGGGACAAATACCCCCGCTAGGTTTTTCAGAGTAGATGCCAATCACAAATATTTATGGATTTATTAAGAGGTGTTGAAACTATTTTCTTGGAAACAATGAGTGAAAAGTCATGCATAAAGTCCGACGAGGGTCTTGGAGATGATTGATTACTCAAGGTGAAGCCCGGTACTTTTAGATTTTGAAGCTTCTGTATCTGTGTGGATTTTATAGCGAATCAGATTATGCAATGATAACTAATTTGAATAAAGAATAAAAGTTGAAGGTTAAGGTGACAAAGTAAGAAATCATCAAACGATGCATTTTTGCACTCGTGCACACTGTCAATGCGAAAATCATTTTGATGGTGATGCAATGGCTGGTCAGACGGATGTAGATCTAATAGATATCGATTTTCTTGATGCATGGAACAATGATATAGACAATTTTACACTTTCTCAAATATGTGAAACTCTAGAGAATGAAAATTTAGCATTTAAAGGAATATGTGATTTATCTGAAAGAAGAAGACTTGGGGATGATTTTGGGAATGATTATGGCGCTTTTGATGTAAATATGGACACTAACCCATTCATCAAAATTGAGCTTAAAGAGGAAGAAAAATCTACGCGCTTTAGGACACCTCTAATGGATGAAGAGCTTCAATACTGCAGATCACTAAATTTTCGTGACACCTTATTTTCCCAAGATAGTTATTGACTCTTGATTAGCAAGACAAAATTTTCAAGAATTGTGGTCATTGTTCTTTATAATCTTATTAATGAATAATATTATACATGAGAATTAAATTTTTGTGAGCATACTCTATCGCCTAATTACCTGAAAAATTTGCGGCTCTGCAGCGGCAAGTGGTGGCTTCCCCATATGAGTGAAAAATTCTTGAGAGGGACATTAAACAATATACAATCAATCCTATTGACAATTTCAAAATGGCTTGCACATAAAACATGGGTTTGATAAAAACACAGTAGCAGCAGCTTAATTCAAGTCACATCGCATTTTTAAAATCTTAATTTTTTTTTTTAAAATTCATCTTTGGAAAGTAAAATATAAGTTAATGAACTTACTCTTTCTCTGTCAGAAATTTCCTCTTTTTCTTGTACACAATTTTCAATCTTCAAAATTAAAATAAAACATAGTAATCAAACATTATGATCATGAAGAAATTTTTAAATAATATTAGAGTTTTAGAGTGTGGCCAAATTTCATTTAATTTCTAAGCAAAATCTATTCATTAGCTGTGAGCATGGAGACAGCTTATAATAGGCTACGTCTGCTGCCATTTATGTATTTTAATATAATAATAAAAATATGTTCAAATCAAATTACCTGTGAGCCTATCATCATTATCATAGATCTTTTATTTTCAACAAACCAAAATCAGAGGCCAATATTGAGAATCCTCAAAACAAAAACAAAAAAAAAACAGAGTATCTTGAGATTATCAAATCATTGACCACCTTAGCCATGTTAGCCACACACTGTAGAGTTTCCAAAACCCAAATGTTCTATCTTTCATTCAGATTACTGGCTAGCAATAATGGAAAATGATAACAAATCTTCTTCCAGTATGACCAGGATGTCACAAAGCTCACAAGTTTTCTAACAGCAGCTAGTATCTAAAGAGTAGTCTATGAAATAAGACTACAATGAAACTACTACCTGTCTTCTCCACGGAAGATCTTTAACACTATAGTCATATCTTATTTCCACACCAATGCCTATCTTCATTGCTGCAAAGAGTCCGAGATGTGGTGTTCCACTAACTGGTATACACTTCATCACAGCATTTTGACGATCATCTCTTGGGCCAGCATCATTTGCAAATCTACATTTACGAGATGAATTTGTTGCATCCAAGCTGTTACACAAGAAAAAAACAAAACTCATTATTAATTTCATAACCCTAATTTTTAGTACTGCTTTATTCCTGCAACTATCACTGATATTGGCTGAATATATAACAAGATGTCTGTGAGCCAATGCTCACTAGAAATAATCCAGCTCTGAAGTGAATATACACTATGCAAATATATGAAATGTATGAAAGCAAATTTCAACGTGTCACAGGAATTTTGCATTTATTTAATAACTTAAAGTGCGGGTCTGGGGTATAAATAGCAGCCAATGAGAAAAATGGAGGAAATTTCAACTTTCTTGCCACTCTTCACTTCGCAGGAGATTTTTTTGAAATTATATCTATACCGTCAATAAACATCTTCCGAAAGTTGTTGAGCAATCTAACTAAGCTATCAAGTGTGTTTGGGTGTTTACAATACAGAGTAAAAAATATATATACAGCCTATAATATTCATTTTAAATTCTGAGGCGATCGAAATTTCAAACTTCTTTGGAGTTTGATGGACAGCTTTAGAATGTTTACATTTACACCGGAAATGCCCGTCGCTATTGACGCATGCTAATGGCCGCCATATTCTCACCTCAAAAGAAAAGACGAAAATACTCCGAAAATAATCCTCAATACTTTTTATTATCCTTTCATCAAGTTGTAAATTAGAAACAAAGCCCATGCTTAGAACACAGAGAGTGTAAACAATTATCACTGTGGGTCAGTCATGCTGTTTTAGTCACTGTAGTGAAGCATCACATCGGCGAGATAACAAAGATTATCAGCGTGACACGTGTCTGTGGCTGTCAGCAGGGTTAGACCCAGAAAACAATCAAGTGGAAATGAAAACAAAAAAATCATAATTATAAAGTCACACTATTTAAAAAGAAATCTTCAAAATATTTTTTAGTTCCAACGATGTCCCATGTATGGCTTATTTTTTGGATTCGGAAACCAATACCTAACAAGTTCTAAAACGCATTCTGGTAAAATATCCCTACGATGGCACACAACGTTTCGTAATCTTGGATCATTGAGTAAAGCAGTTCTTTTCTTCGCTATATATCTCTCACCCAAAAACACACCTCTATGAAAAAGCATAGTCCAAAAGAATTTGTACCTTTCTTTTCTAAGAGAACTGTTCCGTGTGTTTGGTGGCACAGGCTCCGATGCCCACCACATTTGTTTATTGCGTTCGTCAGTTATGCAAGGTTTACATAAACAATTCTGACATTCCTCACAGTTTTCATTTTGCGGGATAAGGTATGTCCTTTCAAAATTCATGCCTTCCTCTTCATTTCTATCATTTTCAATTGTATCTTCATTCATCTCTTCTAAATCCCAGTTATTAAAATTAAAGAATTGTATAATGGCTTCTCTTTGTTCGGAATTAACTCTCAATGAAATAACACTTTTCTCTTCTTGTTTCTCCATTTTGCTACAATGAGACCGCGTTTTGTTTTGGAGGGAAGTTTTTCAGGGGAGAGGTATATTAAGGGACTCAGGATTTCATTTAATTTACTATAAACTCTATTTATTGATAAAACTGGAAATTATAAAAGTAGATGACTGGTTTTAAGAAATATATATGTATATATTTTGGATACTGCTTGTATTTCTTTGATTCACATATATTTTGGATGTTCCCCACTGAGCCCTCTTATCCTTCTCTGTATCACAGCTAGGCTGATTTATTGACATTTGGCGGGAGGTCCCTCCATGTGCCTGTGGAAGTTGGTCAATTCCATCTGAAACCTAAACAGGGGTAGTGGGGGCAACCATGTGTCAATTTCTATCATAATATGAATATAATTCTTCCCCATAAAATTATTAAAATCATTTTATCAAATAAAAGTTAGAAGTGCTATTAAATTTATAACAATATTATTCACAAAAAGGTAATTGTTGATTGTCATTTTTTTTTTAATTACAACTTATCAAAAATGGTACAGTCCACTGAAATATGATCCCTGTTGTATAGATAGTTTAGATATATTATATAAGATACAACCAGGAGTAAATTCAAAGAATAATCGTCATTAACTAAGCTTTATTAATTATTACTAAGAAATTATATCATGGCTGAAAACAAACGAAAGCGTCCTCCAACTTTTAAGTTAGAAATACCAGCTAACGAAGACAAGAAAATTAACATCTTGCAAAATCTTCAGGAAGTCAGGGAAATGTTAGTCAAACAACTAGGTAGACATGTTAACAATGCCGACATCATGGAAAATTTGCTTTCTACCTGGAAGAAGTCAGTGGCTGAAGATGATCATCCAAAAAACACCTGGAACGTATATTAATGTTAAGAGAAGTCAGGTTAACCAGGACTTCTTTGTGACATCGTTGCCTTCCGTGAAAAAACTCATGGATGTTGCTGCTGCACATGGAAAACATTGTGGAGGAAAATTGGAGGTAAAAAAAGCAACAAAACGGGGACATGTCACCTCTTTGAAACTGTGTTGTTCAAGAACTGATCGGCCTAAACACAGGTATATTTGGGCATCTTCACCCTACCTTCCGAATGGGAAATATCTCATCAATGAAAAAATTAATCATGCTTTCTTGTGTAGTGGTATGCTACCATCCTGTTATTCTAGATTTTGCAGAGAAGCAGGATTCGGTGTACTTTCTGTAGAAAAACGGAATTCGTTTTTTAAAATGTACAAGACATTTGTCCAACAAGAGTACGAAGATTCTATTAACACTGCTTTACTAGAGGAAGTTGGACTATATGAAAATCTAGATGGAATTGATATCATAACTGACGCACGGCATGGGTGGCGGAAAAATGCCCAGGACACCAGTGTGGTGGCAATAGGTGAAAAAACGCACAAAGTTCTCAACTGTGTGCACATTGCAACCACTGACGATCCAGTTACCCAAAGACATGAAAAAATTGGAACTGAAAAAATTTACGAGGATCTTGACAACAAACAAGTTTCTGTCAACGTCCACACACATGACAGAAATATGTCAATTAACAAACTAGTCAGGGAACGTGAAAATGGATTTACCTGCAACCAAAACGACATTTGGCATGGCATAAAAAATATTAAGAAGGCCATGTCTGTCATTTCAAGTGGACCACGGTACAGGGAAGGGAAAACGTGGTCCGAGGAGCTGTACGATAAACCGGAGGCCGTGTCTACACATTTCTATTGGGCCATCAAGCACTGCGGTGGAGACATAAGTACGCTCAGAGAGATGTTGGAAAATATTGTAGACCACTATAAAAACAATCATGAAAGATGCCATCCTTCCTCAAGATGTAAAGTGGATCCAAACTACGAATCTTCCCGAGTGGTGATTCAAAACCCTGTCGCAGAAAAACTATTAAACGGTGTGATAATTAATTCGGTGATTTATAAAAATCCGGATGATTTTCGATTAGGACGTGATACTTATTTTGTTGAGAGTTTTAATAACACTTTAAATATATATGAGGATAAAAGAATCGCTTTTGGCAGTGAACAGTATAAAGTGCGAGCATTCCTGGGAACGTGTCACTGGAATGAAAATGTGGGTAGAGACATTACTTCCATTACCTATACACGTAACCCCAAAACCCCACGAAAGCAACTTGGGAAAAAGAATTATAAAAAACAAAAATTTCAGTTCAGGAATAACATTTGGAGCCGTTACATAAAACATGTCTTTTCTAAACGTAAAAATAATTAAAACATTTATGTATTTGCATAGTCTTTGTTGTCTTAGTTTTAGCACGTGTTAGTGGTATGCTGCTGTCTATTAATAGCATTACACTGCAGTCTTATCAGTGGGGAGGTGTGACCTGCTCCCTAATATGCTTAATTGCTGTCCGTGTGGATATTTATCTAGGTCAGATCCGGCCTTTAACTGCTAGGCCAAATCATAAGATTATTATAATAATATTATGCTATGGAAATTGGGAAATTGACACCTTTTATGGGGGTCAAGGTAGCTGTTTTTGCATTGGGAACGGGGCCGAATATCGGCCCAAGTTTTAGAGAATCTAGAGCCCTAGTAGGGCTCCCTCCCAGTACATGTAAATGCACAGCATTTAAAATTGTCAAAGAATAACAGACTCTTGGTGGCCAAAAATAACATTTGTACTTACCAATATCGTTTACTGTCCCAGGTAAAGAAGTAAATGTAACTTCCTTTGTGAGAAGGATACGTTTTCTCACGAGCAAGCCCTTTTTTCCTACTGATAAGGTCTCCGGCATATTCCAAAATGAACTCTCCTTGTTGGAACTCCTTTCCAGCATAAAGACCCTTTCCTGCTTATAAAATAAGAAAGAAGACAAGTCATTTAATGATTGCTTTCAAGTTAAGTGTGAAGTATTGGTGTATGAATCACACAGACCTCTCACATATGCATATTTCATGAAGCGTGCTAGTGCTTCGAAATGAAAAATATGCCTATGTGCAAGTCTTTGTGATTCACACTAAACTTAACAAGAGGCCCATGGGCCACATCGCTCACCTGGGAAGCTTTGACCATTCTGTTCTTTACTAGATTTCCCCCTTGTAATACATATTGTGACCCCACCCAACCCCACTCATCATAATTTAGACAAGTTGAAATCTATACTACCCCAGGATGCTTCCACATAAGTTTCAGCTTTTCAAAGTTTGTCCAATATATTTCTATGTAAAACTTTGATTCCCCATTGTGGCCCTGACCTAACACCCCCCCCCCTCCCTGGGGGTCATGATTTGAACAATTTAGAATCTACACTACCCTAGGATGCTTCCACATAAGTTTCAGCTTTTCTGGCCCAGTGGTTATTAAGAAGAAGATTTTTAAAGATTTTTCCTATATATTTCTATGTAAAACTTTGATTCCCCATTGTGGCCCCGCCCAACCCCCGGGGGTCATGATTTGTAAAATTTAGAATCTACACTACCCCAGGATGCTTCCACGTAAGTTTCAGCTTTTCTAGCCCAATGGTTCTTGAGAAGAAGATTTTTAAAGATTTTTCCTATATATTTCTATGTAAAACTTTGATTCCCCATTGTGGCCCCGCCCTACCCCCGGGGGTCATGATTTGAACAATTTAGAATCTACACTACCCCAGGATGTTTTCACATAAGTTTCAGCTTTTCTGGCCCAATGGTTCTTGAGAAGAAGATTTTTTAATGAACCCACCCTATTTTTGTCTTTTCTTGATTATCTCCCCTTGTTAAGGGATTTGGCCCTTTATTTTAACGTAGGTCGCGGGTTTGCAGGCCTTTTAAAAGTGTCCGAAAACATACCATGAAAATTAGTTATATGATTCCTCTACCTTTGTTTTACATTCTCTGAAAATTTTATAAAATTCGTCTGCATCGTTTTTATGTAATTAAATCCCAAAGATGTCATTGTTGTAGTAACATTTTCGACGCTATTGTATTGAATTATATAGGAAAAACGTCGATTTCGGCTCGTTTTCAGGTAAGATTTTTTTTTCAAAAAATATCATTAACTTTTAAATGGTGCAGACAAAATTGTTCTCCCTTTGGTATCTTAAAATAGAATTGATTTGAAATAAATCTATGTGAAAAAATTAATATGTCTTCGGGTTTTTTTTTTCTCGTAATTTAAATGTAGATAATTGCTTTTATATTGCAAAATTTAACATTTTTAAGAACTACGTCATAAAATATCGCGACGTCACGCTTGACGTCGTGAATATCGATCCGGTATACAGAGCAGAAAAACAAATTAAAATATTTTTAATTCACGTCTATCTGTTTTCATATGACCCACGAATCGTATCATTATAATTCAATAGCAATGAAATGATTATTAGACTTGTTTCTCTTCTTATATTCTTTGTACGTCTCATATTAGTGAAAATTATCTCAAGGGACGTAAAACGACAATCGGTCCTTTAGTTTCTTTCTTTCAATGTATTTTCTATATGTGTTGTTTTCTTACCGTTTCTTTTCTTTTTGATTTGTTTTCTTTTTCGTAGATAAGTATCCAATATTTGGCTGTGTATTTTTTCAGCGTGTTGGCGGAAAACGATTATCCTCTTATTCGAGTATACATATGAAATGTTTTTATTTAGAACATTCAACAATGCGCTCATAGCTACGATAACTTCTTAATGAATGAATTTCCGCCAAATATCGTCCCGGCTAAATACATTGTATTTTCAGTATACCGTATAACGGGTATTTTCTGCGGTTGGAAATTTTTGCGATTTAACCCCTAAAAGATAGCAAATTAATTTCTGCGTTTTCAATTTCTGCGGTTGCATTATACCGCAAAAAATTATTTACTGGGTATGATCACCAAACTCTAGGAATTATCAGATAGCTGTCATGTTTACGTTTTATAAATTCATTGAGACATATTGATCAAAGGTGCATGACAACTGATATTGAGCTATTAAGCTTAATTAAACTACTATCTTTTGGTTAGTCTTTGTAAATTTATGTCGAGTCCCAATTGAAATGAATTACTGCCGTATCAGTCCACCCAAACAAAATAAAAAATCTTTATTCTACATTGTAACAAACGTTTTATGCGATCTATTAAAATATTTAAATATATAGATAATTAATGCATCCAAGCCATATTCTAAAAATTCACTTTTAGTTAATTACCATCAAAATTAACCTGGTGTTTATATTTTAAGCTCAAACAAACAGTTACATAATCAAGTAACCTAAAGTTGACCGTATACAATCACAGGTGCCATGTACATTGAGGCGTAACTAATCCTGTCAATCCGTCTGCATTGTGTGAAATGCACGAGACAATCAAGCCACATTGTGTATACAAGCAGTAATTATGGTCTCAAGATAAAACACAAGATTGAAAAAAAGTGTTAAAGAAAGAAAGAAAAGCTACTATGTGTTGTTTGCAGCTATCGGAGTTTGGACTAGTAATTGCGAAATCTCTTTTAATCATTTACATGTACATGTATATCCGTATAAAATAAACAGATACAAGAAAAGATGTTTTTGTATAAACTTATTAAATTGATATTATTTACATGAACGTTTTGATTCAATATGTTTTGGACAAATCCTGACATCTAAAATCTTCGAATTTCGATGACACCCGAATTTTCTCGCTAACTAGGACATCTGCGGACGCATCGTTTTTAAGAACTTGCGTCCCAAATAATTTTGCTGCATCCAGTACGCAGGTTCTTGCGTTAATGAGAATCCTGTGACATATGCACCACTTATTATACTTGCATGTATAAAAATAATAAAATATATATCTGAAGAAATATTGAAAAAAATATTTTGCGATTGTAATTTTTGCGGATTTGTCCTATCCGCAAAATTCCGCAAAAATTGGACAACCGCAGAAAATACCCGTTATACGGTATATTTAAAAAATGTTTTTATTTATTTTTACATACAGACAGGGGATAACTCAAAAGAAATCTGAACTTGATTTTATGATTATATGTATAAGAATAGAAAAACAAAAACAAAACAAACAAACAAACAAACGAACGAACGAACGAGGCATTTTTAGAGGGGTAAATGGGACGAGAATCTAAAAATTAATTTTATCTGATGTAATCAACAGGCAGATTTTTTTTGTTTTGTTTTGTTTTTGTTTTTTTTTTTATTTTCAGTATATATTTAAAAAATGTTTTTATTTATTTTTACATACAGACAGGGGATAACTCAAATTGTTTTTGTTTCAAAAGACTTTCAATGTACATAACATTAATTTGACTGGTTGGACATGGAAAGCAGAGTAGCGAAAAAAATCTGTAGATAACAGCATTGTAAGCCGTTACTTACACAGACACTTGGGGTATTGAAACCCCCCCCCCTTTCATTTTTTTTCTTTTTAAGTCTGGGGTCGAGTCACCCTTTTCTAATATGTACTATATGTTATCAATAATGTAACCCTTTTGTCTCTTTAAACTGTTTTTAAATATATTTATATATCGTTTTCGACTGATACATAAAAATGCCCCCCCCCCTTTTTTTTCTTTTTAAATCTTGGGTCGAGTCACCTTTTTCCTATTATTGTTTTCTAACATGTACTATATGCTATCGATAATGTAACCCTTTTGACTCTATAAGCTGTTTTTTAATATATATATCGTTTCGACTGATACATAGAGAGAGATCTTCTCGTCGTTTAACTCACTTCTTAAACTTATAAACTTCGCATGATTATTTATCTAAAGCATAAGAAAACATGAAATATGCAGACATCAACATTTTTTTTTTTACACATTCTTCTTCCGTTTCATATTTCCATTTAATTTTCATGTGCCCCCGATTAGTAAATTTTTCGATTAAATCACCCGCATCTAAGGGCATCTTTACGGCCTAAGGGTAAATTGTCGGTATTAGAATACAAAAATAGGAAAAAGGTGACTCGATCCCAGATTTAAAAAGAAAAAATGGAAAGGGGGAATCCATATCTAAAGTGCCTGTGTTTACTTACAGGAGGTCAGTGTCGCTCAAAAAATGCATTAGTTTATGTTTCATAGTACTTTTAGCATGCAGTTTTTAATTTGTGATAAACCTTTAAATATATTTTTAAAATGTCCTTTTTAAAAATAAAGGTTAAACTTTTAATGTAATAGGTGTATTTTCAATTGATTATATAATGATTTCTTTATTAATTAAACAAACTGTTAATTCAAATACGTTCAAAGGAAAAGAGGTCAGTTGAAACTTGTGCCCATATCGTTTCGCGATACCATGTGATATCTAATTAATCGCATTTCGCGGACCTTTCCGACAAGCCGAAAATTCCGAGCTCTCCGGGATGCGATTGATAACACACAATGAAACGTTTTCTAATACTTCCAGTGTTGGATTCGAATCGTAATAAGCCTTCATTATATTTGATAACTTCAGTTTGTTCTATAAATAATATTACACTAAACTACCATTTTCAACAAAAGTTATATCTAAATATTGTATCGACTATTCAAATCGTAAAAGCCTTCACTATTTGTGATAAGTTGTGCCTTAAATAATATAACAATAAAATACCAATTCCAACAAAAGTTATAGCTAGATAATGATGTACTGATTGCTTTTTCATTGTGACGTCATAATCAAATGTGCACAAGAAAGTCGCCCAAACCATATAAATTGCGTACCCAGTTTTAATGACGTCAGCAAACCCGCGACCTACGTTAACAATTTAAATTCCCATTCACCCAAGGGCAGTGTTTTCAATAAGATTTTCAATAGAAGGAAAAATAGATGGAATAGCAGGAAACCAGTCTCGGCGAGGGATCCGGGGGCCGCCTTAGGCCCCCAGCGGGTCCAGGGCAGAGCCCTGGTAGGGGGCCCA